TTTGGCGGATATTCGAGCGCGAGACGTGGTGGTGGATAGCAAAGAGATAGATGATACGCGATAGATTATCTATCAGAGATCAGCTAACTACAGGTTGTAAGAAAAAAGGGAATATTTCCCAGGGGGAACAGCCCCCCTGTAGCCCTCAGATACCATTTTATAGTCGAGTAGTTAACTAGAGTTGATAAGGCCATGAGTGAGCGAGCCTGCCGATATTTTGTGTGCTAGCTGCAACAGCCTGATTGATCTGGGAACGGTCAGTTTTTTATACAGAGGATGGACGTAATGTTGTTTAAAAATGGTTAAATTCATTTGTGTGGATGGACGAATGTGTTTTTTTTTTAAATACGCACATTGGAACCAAACAGGTGAACAGAGAGGAAATAGTTTAACGTGAAATAAATTGAACTATACATATGATACATGGCTCCAACTCGTCACAGGATACATCAAATATATACATCGTGAGGCGTTGTTGTTGTATTGTTATCTTGGTTATCTTGAGATGATTTCGGGGCTTTAGTGTCCCCGCGGCCCGGTCCTCGACCAGGCCTCCACCCCCAGGAAGCAGCCCGTGACAGCTGACTAACATCCAGGTACCTGTTTTACTGCTAGGTAACAGGGGCATAGGGTGAAAGAAACTCTGCCCATTGTTTCTCGCCGGCGCCAGGGATCGAACCCAGGATCACAAGTCCAGCGTGCTGTCCGCTCGGCCGACCGACTCCCATCCAATGGGATCCTGGGTCAAAGCGTGCATTGATCGGTAAGGAAAATATTAGGAGGAAAGCTTTGATTGATGAAGATTAAGCCACCCAAAGACTTGGGTAAATACTGGTTCAGTAACAGGGTTGTTGATTTGTGGAACCAATTGCCGCGTAACGTGGTGGAGGCCTGGTCGAGGACCGGGCCGCGGGAACACTAAAGCCCCGAAATCATCTCAAGATAGCCTCAAGATAACCATTTAACCATTTAAGATAAAAAGATAAATTTAATAAAATATATAGAACATTTAAATGTTCAATCATCGTAAATAATATATATATATTACCTGGAACAAACCTGGTGAGAGTTTCAAGAGTTGTTCTAGTCCCCGGCCTGAGGCCAGGCTCGACTTGTAATAACTTGGTCCAACAGGCTGTTGCTTAAAGCGGCCCGCAGGTCCACATATCCACTACAGCCTAGTTGGTCCGGCACTTCATGCAAGAACTCATCTAAGTGCCTCCTGAATATTGACTTAAAATAAGCTTAAGAATCAGATTCCTGAGTAATATAAGCTTCACATGTCACTCACGTCACTCACATGTCACTCACGTCACTCACTGAACCCCGACCAGATCCCCGAGTCACTTCAACTCACCTCACGTCCAATAATAAGCTTCCAAACCAGTCACCAGGGTAATGATATTCCACATCGCTCGACATTGCTCACAAATCCTCCCTTTTTTTAAGTATACTCTTAACAAAATGCGAAACAAATTGCACAACTCATTAGAGAAGAACAATTAACATTTGCAATTCAAGATTCGTAACTTTCCCCGATTTTGCATGCGCCCAGCTGATAACACTCATTGCTAAAACGATACCCCTGTAAACTGGATTGCTGTACATTGTAAACTACAATGTACATTGTAGGTTAAAAAAGGAAAATAAATATTGTCAGGTAAAGGAGCTTAGAGGCTGAAAAATCCGTCACTGGGAATGGTAAGAGAATGTGACTAATTGAGAAAGGTAATAAGATGGGGTAGAGGATTGAGGGAGGGGTGATAAGAAAGGGAAGAGATTATGGGGAGGGTGTTGGGACTAGGTTACCTTGAGGTGCTTCCTTACCTTGAGGTGCTTCCGGGGCTTAGCGTCCCTGCGGCCCGGTCGTCGACCAGGCCTCCTGGTTTGCTGTACATAGGGGGAAATATTATTGGATTTGTCGAGTCAGTTAATAGCCACGATTGTGTCAAATATGCAGACGATGAATCACAGTAACGTGGCTGAAGATATGATGATCAGAAGATGGAGAAGCGAAGACGTTTCGGTACGTTTTGGACCATTATCAGTTCTCACGATTTAAGAAAGGTCTTGAACGGACCGAAACGTTGTCGCTTCTGCATCTTCTGAGGTGTTGTTTGGCCATCACGGTGTCAAAGACCCTGTGGTCTTTCTTAGGGCCACAGAAGAATGACCTCAGGAGAGTAAGTTAGGGTCACAGAAGAATAACAAGGAAAGTAAGGTAGGGGGCTTAGAAATAGCCTAAGCTACTCTATCCCTTTGAGATATATTTCTTTCTTGTCTCATTAAACATACTTCAACTTCACACACACACACACACACACACACACACACACACACACACACACACACACACACACACACACACACACACACACACATTCCGGACCCCAAAAATAGCGGCGTAACACAAAATATTAACCGGAAAGACCAACCGAACTATTAAGGAGATTTGTGTTCGATTCCGCAATATTCTCCTCTCGCTGCTCATCTCTTACATGCCTACAAGACTGTTCTTTGTGTCGTTTTATTAAAAACTGATGACAGAAGCCATTATATATTTTTGTAATGTAACAATAACACAAGAGGTTAACAGCGGTCGTTTCTCACAAGTTCATCAGCGAATACAAAATTAATTTATAGTCCACAAAAAAATAAAAAAAAAAGGTCAGCCGACAAAAGATTGATAGATTCAATTGTTTTTTCTATAATTGATATCTTCTTTCCAAATATTGACGGTGATTATTTATATATATATATATATATATATATATATATATATATATATATATATATATATATATATATATATATGTCGTACCTAGTAGCCATAACGCACTTCTCAGCCTACTATGCAAGGCCCGATTTGCCTAATAAGCCAAGTTTTCATGAATTAGTTGTTTTTTTTCGACTACCTAACCTACCTAACCTAACCTAACCTAACTTTTTTCGGCTGCCTAACCGAACCTAACCTATGAAGATAGGTTAGGTTAGGTTAGGTAGGGTTGGTTAGGTTCGGTCATATATCAATGTTAATTTTAACTCCAATAAAAAAAAATTGACCTCATACATAATGAAATGAGTAGCTTTATCATTTCATAAGAAAAAATTTAGAGAAAATATATTAATTTAGGAAAACTTGGCTTATTAGGCAAATCGGGCCCTGCATAGTAGGCCAAAAAGTAAGTTCTGGCTACTAGGTACGACATATATATATATATATATATATATTATATACACGTTCAACATGTATAATATGCAAAATTAAATATTTATACCGTAATATATCTGTTATAGACCTATGTTATAGATATATATATCTGTGTTACATATAGATCTATGTTATATCTATATATCTATATATTATAGACCATAATATATCTATATAAAGACATTAAACCCCTTTCTCGCGTTTTCAATGATGGTTCGAACCTAGTTTACAGCATCAACATTTTCTCGTGTACAATCTGTTCTTAAGAATTTCGATTTCCTTGTCACCAAAGCCACATTCATCTGAGCAACTCTTCAGGCATTTTAACAAATAACAAAGACAATTATAGCAATATAACTTGCAAATTGCAGCAAATAACAATAACAGTTATATGAATACTTCTCTTATAGGCCTCGAAAGCTATATACTTGATCTTGAGCTAGTTTATATATTCTCTCTTTATCCTCTTTAATTAATAATTTTTTCCCGGTAGTCGGTACACAGAGCGACTCTGGCACCGGGCGTAATGAAAAGTCAACAGGTAATTTTAAAGTTTAACAATTCATGTCAATAGAGTTGTAATGTACTCTGTAAAATATTGCGCCGTGAGACGCTAATCTGAGTGCGTTTGGTGCTGTCAGATGCCGCAAGCGGTATGGGGGAATTGGCAGTTACCGCAAGCGACACGGGGAACTGGCAATTGCCGCAGCGTATACTTGTTCACTGGGGGTATACTAGCGTATGTTATATACTTAGTATAGGGTATACTAAGTATACTTTGCATACTTTTCATTTACTTTATAAGCTAAAAAAGACTATATTTCCTTGAAAAATAAACATGGTTTATCATATATATATATATATATATATATATATATATATATATATATATATATATATATATATATATATATATATATATAATATCTCAAAGATTTACAAGTACTAATTTCCTTTCTAATGTTCTAGAATTTGAACATTTTAGACGGCAGGACAGTGATGTAGCTCTTTGTCAGCACTAACTTGTGTTCAAGGATTCCAGAAATAATTTTCAGAAGTAAAACTAAACCAAAATACCTTAAAATGCAACCTCCAACCTCTAGGTCCCAAACCTGCACACAGAAATAACACCACATGAGACCAGGAGACATGGCAGGATGTGCAGAATACCCCCGTTGAAGAGCAGACAGGTGCAACAGGTCTCTGAGAGAGAACTCTATCAACATCAGAGGCCCGAGACTGTTCAAACACGCTTCCACTAACATAAGGACATTACTGGCCGACCCCTCACAGTGTTCAAGAGAGAACTATCAACATCAGAGGCCCGAGACTGTTCAACACGCTTCCACTACACATAAGGGACATAACTGGCCGACCCCTCACAGTGTTCAAGAGAGAACTGGATAAGCACCTCCATAGGATACCTGATCAACCAGGCTGTGATTCGTACGTCAGGCTGTGAGCAGCCGCATCCAACAGCCTGGTTGACCAGTCCAGCAACCAGGCCTGGTCGACGACCGGGCCGCTGGGACGCTAAGCCACGGAAGCACCTCAAGGTAAGGTAGTAAAAAATGTGAATAAATCAAGAAGTAATGTCATGAGGATGTCTTGTGCATTGTGGTCCGCTCTCTTTTAACATATACTAATGGCTTAATGTTCTATACCCTTGAGGATTCTCTTCTCTCTCTCTCTTCCTGTCTGTACTCCCCTAGTTGTGCTTCCGGGGGTTGAGCTTTGGCTCTTTGGTCTTGCCTCTTAACCGTCAATCTACTGGTGCACAGATTCCTGA